TCAGGCAGATCGAGTGCCACACGAAGCCCGGGTCGTACGCGTCGACGAGCGCCGCGAGCTTGTCGTAGACCGCGCGGACCTCGGGGATGTCCATGAAGCTGCTCTCGTCGCCGTCCCGCGGGTGCACGCCGAGCGTGACCGTGTGCGCCTCGACGGCGCCCTCGGGCATGACGTTGCGCCGCGACCGCGTCACGAGCCGCGACCAGTCCAGCGCCGCGAGCGCCGCGTCGAGCTCGCGGAACGCCGCCGCCGACGGGCCGCGCGGCGACCGCCGCGGCGCGGCGACGGCGCCGCCGCGCGTATCTTCGGCGTCGTCGCCGGCGCGCGCGTCCACGGCGTCGTTGTCGGCGCGCGCCTCCTCGGCGCCGTCGGAACTCTCTTCTGAGGTGCGCCGGAGCGTCGGCGGCGCCTCGACGTCGTCGTCGTCGTCGCGGCGGCGCCGTGGGACTTTGGCTTTGGCGTGCGTGCGGCGCGATTGTTCCCGCGGAGCCATCTCGAGGCTCCGATGGGCCCCGCGCCGGGGGTGTTCGCGAGCCGCATGTCGACGACACCCCTGCCCGGAGACCTCATGGGTAGTACATATCACCCGCGGCAACCAGCAACCCCCTGTCGTCACGCCCACGCCGCGCGTAGAAGAAATCTCTGGGCGGCCCGCTCGTGGCTCATCGTCGTACGGCTGGTGCTCGAGCCAGAGTTGCCGCCCTAAAGCCGCACCTCCGCCCGGCGGTTTGGCAATGGCCGCGCGAAAAACTATCCTCCCCAACGCCTTCGCGGACATCTTGGAGGCCGCCGCGGACTCGCCGGGCGCGTCCTCCGCTTCGGATGCGTCGCCGTCGTCGGCGGCGGCGGCGTCGCCGTCCCTCGAGGCAATAACCACGATGGCCCGCCCGCGGGCCCTCAGCGCGAGCCACAGCGTGAACGTCGCGCCGCCGCCGAAGCGCAGCGACGTCGCGCCGCCGCTACCGGCGCCAAAGCCCAGCGACGCCGCGCCGCCGCCGAAGCGCGACGACGTCGCGCCGCCGCCGCCGCCGCCGGAGCGCGACGACGACGACGCGGCGGCGCTGCGCGCGCGCGTCGAGGCGCTGTCGCTGGAGAACGAGCGGCTGCGGCGCGAGGCCGGCGCCGCGGCGCCGCGGTCCGCGGCATCGAAGCCCGCGCGGTCGCGGAGCTGCGACGAGGACGGCGAGGCGGCGCCGCGGCCGCGGCCGGCGCGCTACAGCGTCGGCGCGGCGCGGGGCCGCTACAGCGTCGACGCCGCGCTCGCGGGCCGGCGGACGTCGCTGTCGCTGCCCGAGCCCCGGGCCGGCGGCGCGGCCGCCGGGCCCTTCGTCGCCGTCGCC